TGAGGCGACCGCTCCTAGGAAAATGAGACCACGCGCGCGGCCGCGATGTTTTTGTTATCCGTGTCCTTGAAGCAGAGGGGTCTGAGCTGACAGCGTTCTCTGACGCGCCCCCCCACTTCAAAGTCGCCCCCCCCCCCCCCCCCCTGGCCCCCCTTCGGAGTGAGCATCCCCGGGGGGTCGTTGAGACCAGAGAGGGCCCACCCACCATCCAGGAGCCAGAGCATCAGCTCAGTCGCAACCTCGAGCGCTCGGGCGGGCCCCTGCCGGCCCGCGCGCGGAACGCAATCGGGGCCAGGGGCGGCGCGGGAGAGGCGGCGAAGGACAGCGGCCATCAGCTTCTGCGACGGCGGCGGACTCTGGATAGGATCGACGCGCGACGCGAACCGTCCGACGCAGGCCTTCGCGGGCAACGTCGGCGCGGACTCGCCGCGAAAGACTTCAAGCCAGCATCCCGAGATGCCGGCAGCGATATCAGCAGGGGCCGGAGAGATGCCTCCACCTTCTCGGGCGCCGCGGATATACAGACGCTTGCCACATTGAATCCAAAGCTTAGCCTTCACCTGAAGCCTCTGGAGACGCTGTCAAAATCGTTTGCGTTCGGATCCACCCAGGGTAATCGAGGGGGTCTGCGAGAGCTCCTAGAGTTCCCCCATGCGGGGTTCTTCCTCCAAGCGGCCCAACATCTAGGACAAAACAAACCTTCGACTCATTGAGCCAGATGCGCTTCGACGCCTGGCAGACGCCTAAGAAGCCGCTCGCCAACGGGCGCCGCTGGGCCAATCGAGACCCGAGACGGAAATCCTGACGCCAATCCGCTCGCCCAATAGTTCAGCAGAACACAATTCTGCCCAGGTCGAGACAAAACGCCCTGAGAACCACGCGCACCGCGCAGCGAACTACAGTCGGGGTGGATTGAAGAAGGCGCGCGAGAGGACAAGACTCTTCCGAGGGCCACATTGCCATATGAATGTAGAAACATGGGTCGCGACGCGCAGGACACCTGGGCACCCCTGTTGATTCGGCAGGGTCGACCTACGAACCCGGCTCGACAGCATTGCGAGCGAAGAGGGTCGCATCCTTCACGGGCGCCCTAAAATACATCATCATGATGGGTGGGGGGAGGTCCTCGAGGTCATTAGCTTCCAAGTCGGCATTCATGAACCCCCGGTAAGTTTCAGCCCCGAACAAGTCCCCATGAGTTCCTCTGGCGTCGGGGTCCTTCTGAGGGGCAACTCTGAAGTCCGCCCTAGCAGCAGCGTGATCCGAGAGCATTGGTCCGTGCACGACCTCCGCTGGGCCATAGGTGTTGCCGCGAATATTCAGCTGGAGAATCACCTAAACTGGGGGCGAAGTAAACGCCCTGTCCACGATGCTTATCGCGCCGATGGGCGCGCGGGCTTGCGCGGGGTCCCACTGCTGGATCTCCGCGAGAGAAGAGAAGCGCGAGTGCCGGATCGGGCACTGCGTGCCGCGCCAGGTCTGAGACCCAAGGCTGGGGCCCGGAAACTGGGGCGGGTCGAGAGGGGTCGGGGGAGAAGTGGCGATGCTGAAGTCACCGGCGACGACGACCAGACGATGATGAGGATCATCGGCGGCGAGGGGGCGATGCTGTTCGACATGTTCTGCGATGCATCTCTCCCGGTCGGCCGAAAGCCCAGACTTGTGCACGCTGCGCTGCGCGATCCAAGAGTTCCCGCCATCAAAAACCATCACTCCGGCCAGGGGCGAGAACCTCTGAAGACGACTCCAAGTTGGCCTCTGGGTTCGACGGAACAGGGGCCAGCGCGATGGCGCCAGCAGGGCAGGGGCCGGGGATCCACTGGGGCACGTCGGAGTCCGCGGGGCGTGGGATCACCGTGAACCTGGCGCGGCGCTCGCGCGGCACGTGCACGACAGGAACCAACTCGCGAGCTTCGTCCTCGGCGCCGCGCGCCTCCTGCACGGCGGCCGCGCTGCTGAGAGACAGAAGGCAGGCGAGGTCGTGGAGTTTCCTGGAGCGGGTCGGGCCGCGGCGGCGGGAGAGGGCACTCGCATTCCAGCTGACGAAACTGAGGGAGGAGGAGGAGGAGGAGGAGGAGGAGGAGGAGGAGGAGGAGGAGGAGGAGGAACTAGGAGCCTGCCAGGGCCCCACAAAATGCGTCAAAGAGACCGCACGTCAGCGTCAGCCTGCGCCTGGAACCGCGCCAACACGCGGGAGTCGAGGCGCTCCCCGCGGAGGTCCTGGGCGGCGAGGTCGGCGGCGTTCCACTCGACGGTGGGCGGGCCGTCTGCCTCCGGGGTGTAGCGGAGGGGCCGTTTGCTTCCGTGCCCGCGATATCCCTCCGCGCTCGCGATCCACAAAGTAACGCCTGTCTGGGTAGACCTGCTCGAACTCGCGACGGAGCAGTCTGCGCCCGAGGTCGCGTCCGACTTGACATTTGTTCCTCTCAGCGCTGATGGAGAGATCCGCGGCTGCCCCCATCGGCGTAAGGGCTGAGGACTAGCGCCGCGAGCCATCATGGTTGCGAAAAAAGCACCGAGGCCTTGACCGAACGGAGCGCGCAGCCCGCTGCGCGCTGCCCGTGATCTGGAATCGCGAGTCGCTTCGCCGCGGGTGCGGTCGCCGATGCGCTGATCTCCACGCCTTCCACCTCGAGATTGGTTTCGGTGCGCCACGGGGAGACAGCCTCACGAACGGCCGTCACCAAGACAATCTCCTTGCTGCGGACGACCAGGATGGTGGGGTCCGGGGGCCTGTCGAAACCAGACGGCGCCGAGGGAAGAACGGGCTCCTCGGATCTGCTGTCTCGCATCTGCTCGGTGAGATGCTGGATCTGCTTTTCAGGAGCACTGATGCGATTCTCGTGACCACTGAGCATTGCTTCCGCCTTCCGCATGCGAAGTTCGATCTGCTCGTCAAAACTCTGGGCGCGGGATGCAACTGCCGAAGACAGAGAGAGAGAGAGAGAGCCTGCGCGTGGGCCTGCACGGCGCTGGTGGCAGCCATGACCTGGCGGTGGGAGGCGTCCACGTGACTGAAGGGGCCCTGGGACACACAAATAAATACGCACAAATAGCCGGATTCCCCATATTTTCCTATATTTTCTGCGTTTTTGTCTTCCCCCCCCCCACTCCCCATATTTTCCTATATTTTCCTGGGGATCGACGATTGATTGTGTCTGTGTTTTTTCCCCTCCTGAAGCGTGGGACTAGTACGCCGGAGCTCCATGGTCAGGCTGGGCGATGTAGCCACGCTGGGGAGAAGCAGGAGCACCAGCACCAGGAGATGGACGAGGAGGGTAAACCGCGGAGAGGCTCGCCTCCATTTATCTGCCGAGCCGAAGTACTCATCTTCCTCTGGTCCTGCAGCGGGGCGCCGGCGACCGTCTTGTCCACGGGAGGTCTTCGGAGGGTGTTCTGTAGCAGTCCGCTCGACCACATTAGGCATTCTGTCGCCTGCACAAGACTTGTGAAGCACCCTTCAGCTACACCAGTTGCTGACGTAACGAAATGTAGGAGAAGCTGAGTGACCACCACCAGCGCACGACACGCTGGATAGCTCGGAAGAGAGCTGCCCGCCCAAAATAGGACCTGTTCCCACTTGAGCCAGCGTGGCAGCAGATTTCCTCCTCTTCCTCCTCCTCCTCCTCCTCCTCTTCCTCCCTTTTCCTCTCCCTCCTCTTTTTTCTCTCCCCTTCAGGAGCACACCGTTTGACCTTAGCCGGGCAATGGCCACCAGGTTCCAGCTCATGATGGGCGCTTGCAGGACGGCATGGGGGCGGCGGCGATTCGGGAGGAGGAGGAGAAGGAGGAGGAGGAGGAGGACGAGGAGGAGGAGAGGGAGGAAAGGGAGGAGAGAAAGGAGAGGGAGGAGAGGGAGGAGGAGGAGGAGGAGGAGGAGGAGGAGGAGGAGGGGGAGGAGGAGGAGGAGGAGGAGGACTGTAAGCGTCCAAGACGTGGATTCAATATCTGCAGATGCCTGAAGACGCCGGTGCGCGCTGGAAGAGGCGCCTCGTGCTCCTGCCCCCCCGCCCTCGTCGTTTTTTGTTGTTCCTCCTCCTCTTGCTCCTTCCCTCCTCCGCCTCCTCCTCCTCCTCGTCCTCCTCGTCCTCCTCTTCCTCCTCGTCCTCGTCCGCGTCCTCCTCGTCCTCGTCCTCGTCCTCGTCCGCGTCCCTGTCCCTCCTCCTCGCCCGCCCTGCGTGCTTCCCTGCCTGCCTGGACCCCCAGTCTCGCCCACGGACCTCGCCGAGAGTGGAGCGAGCGCGTCCGCCTCGCCCGCCCCCTCGTCGCGCCCTGCCCTTGCGTGGGAGGGCGCAGCGGGCTCAGAGACACACACACACACACACAGAAACACACACACACACACACAGAAACACCCCCCCACACACACACACACACACACACACACACACACACACACACACACACACACACACACACACACACACACACACACACACACACACACACACCACAAACACACACACACACACACACCCAACACACACAACGCACACACACACACACACACACGCACACCACACACACACACACACACACACACACACACACACACACACACACACAGAGACAACACACACACACACAGACAGAAACACGCACACACACACACACACACACACACACACACACACACACAGAGAAACACACACACACAAACAGAAACACGCACAATTTCGGTGTTCGGGGGTCACGGTAAGGCTTCCCTCCGCCTCCGCACGGCAGCCCTGACACCTCTCGAGGCTGGGCGTCGCCCGCGCACGGGCAGTCCCCTGAGCGGTGACGCACCCCGCGGCCAGGGGTGGTCGCTCTTCCACCTCGTGGCGTCCTGGTTAGCTTCGCTGGCTATGGAGGCCATTGGACTCGCGGCACCCCTGCTTATCTCCGCCTCCCTCTTCTGGCCCCCTCCTCGGCTCCTCCGCGCACCGCGGCTCCTCGTCCTTGCTCCTCCTCTTCGCCGCTCTCCTCCACCTGGCCGTCCGCCTCCCCCGCCTGGCCGCCTCGTCCAGGGCCTCTTCCACCATCTCCTTCTCCACCTGCCGGCTGCCGCGCGAAGAGGGGCATGGCTTGGACATCCCGAGGCGTGAACGTGCCGACACCACAAGGCATTGAGCGCATCTGTAAATCGCTCTCTCTCTCTCTCCCTCTGTCTCCCTCTCTCTTCCTCTCTCTCTCTCTCGCTCGTTCTACACATGTATTTTTATATATACAGATAGATACATATATATATATATATATATGCATATATATACACACACCTGTAAATAAGAATGCATGCCTACACTTGCACACAAACCTGTGTTTATATGCACAACCAGACCTATACACACATCTACTACAAAATATGTGGCGATCCCTTCTCGCGCGCACACACAGTCTCTCTGGCTCTTTCTCCCTCCCTCCCTCTCCCTCTCTGCCCCCGTCCCTCGTGCCTCCCTCCATTGCCACCGCCAGCTTCTGCGACGGAGAAGCTCCAAACACATGCCTTAGGCTCCCTCTCTGCTTCCACTCCTTCTCCCCATCCCCCATTCCCCCCACCATTCCCCCCTGCACCGGCCCTCCTCTCTTTGGCTCAAGCCCTAGGCGTACGTGCTGGAGCCAAGTGGACCTGATAGCGGCAAGGCCACGCACTGATCATCTGACATACCTCTTCATAAACAGCTTGCTCCGACTCTCTTGCGGGGCATTCATTTCCTCTCCGCCGCGCCACGCGCCCCTGCCCCCTCGTTCTGCCGCCCCCCGCCCCGACCCTCGTCTTGCCGTCGCCGCCAGGCTCAGCCCACCGCGCGAGCTTTCCTTCAGGCTGGACGTCGGTACGCATGTACCGTAGCAGAGGCGATCGAATGTCGGGGGGACGTGAGACTCGTGTTCGGGGCGGCTTGGCGGAGGGCCGTCAATGGCGAGACCCAATCTGAAACTTGACGCGAATTCCCGCTGCAAACATAGCTGGACCGTGAAGATTCAGGGGGGGCACGTGAACAAAAAGCGCCACCGAACCCGAGCTCCAGCGAGATGCGGCACTCCACACGGTGTCTCGGATGTGTTCCTGGAGGAGGAGGAGGAGGAGGAGGAGGAGGAGGAGGAGGAGGAGGAGAAGCGAGGAGCGAGGAGCGAGGAGCGAGGAGGAGAAGCGAGGAGCGAGGAGCGAGGAGAGGAGGAGGATCAGCGCGGGAGGAGGAGGAGGAGGAGGAGAAAAGGGAGGAGGAGGAGAGGGAGGAGGAGTAGGAGGAGGCGGAGGGAGGAGCGAGGAGGCGAAGCGAGCAGGAGGAGCGAGGAGCGTGAGGCGAAAGCGAGGAGCGAGGAGGAGGCGCGAGAGAGAGAGAGGAGCGAGCGAGGAGCGAGGGAGAAGACTAGGGAGGGTAGGAGAGGAGGACAGGATGAGCGAGGAGGGGAAGAGGAGCGAGGAGGAGGAGGAGCGCGAGGACGGGGAGCAGGAGCAGGGCAAGGAGCAAGGAGCGAGGAGCGAGGAGGGGAGGGAGGAGGAGGGGGGAGGAGGAGGAGGAGGAGGAGGGAGTAGGGAGGAGGAGGAGGAGAGGAGGCGTGGAGCGAGGAGGAGGAGCGAGCGAGGGAGCGAGGACGAGGAGGCGAGGAGCGAGGAGCGAGGAGGAGGAGCGAGGAGCGGAGGACGAGGAGGAGGAAGCGAGGAGCGAGGAGAGGAGGAGAGAGGAGGAGTAGAGTAGGAGGAGGAGGAGGAGAGGAGGAGGAGGGAGGAGGAGGGGAGGAGGAGGAGGAGGGAGGAGGAGGAGCAGGAGCAGGGGGAAGGATGAGGAGAGGAAGGAGCGAGGAGAAGGAGCGAGGAGGAGGAGCGAGGAGGCGAAGCGAGCAGGAGGAGGAGGAGAAATGTTCCTCCTCCAGCCGCTGCTGCACAGGGCCCCCCCCCCCCCCCCGCACGTCTCCAGCTGCGGCCTCGGCAGAGGGGGCGCGCGCACAGCCCGCCGCAGCGGCAGCGGCGGCCTCGCCTGGGAACGGCGCGGGTCACAGCAGCGAGGCCGCGCCGCCGCGCGACGACTGAGCGCAAAGCTCACCGCAGCGGCAGCGGCGGCCTCGCCCAGGCGCAGCGCGGGTCACGCCAGCGACGCCGCGCCGCCGCGTGACGACTGAGCGCAAAGCTCACCGCAGCGGCAGCGACGGCTTCGCCCAGGAGCAGCGCGGGTCACAGCAGTGAGGCCGCGCCGCCGCGTGACGACTGAGCATCCATCCCCAGCGGCGTGGCCTGGGCCCCACAGGCCGACGTACCCCGCCAGATGGGGATGTGGGCCCTTCCCTTCGGGCTTTGAGGGGTGTAACCCCCAACCCAGGTGGCAATTCGGTGGGGGTCTCGGAGGGGATGAGGACGGGGATGGGGGGTCGGATAAAAGATACCGAACGACGGAGGAGAGCACGAAGGCCGTCGAGACGCAAGATGCCTGAACACGTGCTCCTCATTTCGACATCGAGCCGTTAAGAGAGGCCGGAGATGCGTGAAGGAGGCTGCTATGGTTTACTATTTTTGACTATTCCTCCTGCAGAAGGACATGCCGGACTGAAGGCTCCCCGCAGGAGGCCGTGCCAGAGGCCGAAGCAGCGCGCGGCGGCCCGACCCCACGGGGAGGGAGGGCGCAGAGGAGGGGGGCGAAGCAGGGTTACACCAGGATCCGGAGGGCACCGGGGCCTTCGTGCAGCGGCGCAGGCACCAAGGCCTCGCACGAGCGAGGCGGCGGGGGAACGTGGGAGCGGTGGGAGACGGGAGATCGTGAAGCATTACTTTGGCCAGGGTCGCTACCCTGGGGGTAGGGGGCGGGGGGGTGGGCCCGAGGAGGAGGAGGAGGAGGAGGACCAGTGCAAAACCAAGAGTCATCAACGATGCTGGAATCAACACTCCCTCCAAGCTCTTTTTTTCATAGGCCCCTACAACGGTTCATTTCCATTGAGGGAGTTGCCTCGTTGGAAGAAGACAGCCGTTTGAAGACCCGGAAGCATGCCAAAACATTATTCTCGGGATTCCAACGCTACGAATCAACCTGAGAGCTGCGTTTTGACGGTCCGGAATCGCGCCAGAACGCCATTCCTGGGGCCTCAACACCGCGAATCAACGTAACTATGGCACCCTCATAATCTTGAATCCTTCCGAAACACCATTTCTGGTACGCTGACCATGGGACTCCGTGAAACTCTTGCAACTGTTAATGAAATGCGCGCGGCGCTAAGGCGACAACCACGTTTTGAAAAGGAAGCGCCCCCAATCCGTGAAATTTTTGCAAATGGTTAAAATGAATGTACACGGCGCGAAAGCGAGAACCACATGTTGAAAACGAGCCGCCCTCAATATGTGAGACTCTTGCAAATTTTTACATCAAAAGAATGCGCGCGGCGCTAAAGTGATAACCGCGTGTTGAAAACGACCCGCCCTCAACTCCCTCAGCCCGTGAAGCTCTTGCAATTTGTTACAACGAATGCGCGCGGCGCTGAGGCGAGAGCCACATTTTGAAAACGGCCCGCACTCCATCTGCGAAGCTGTTGCCAATGTTGAGGCTTCAAAGTCACACATGATGAGGAAGTCCCAAGCGAAACGTCCGGCCCGCCCTAAAATCTGGCCTTGGGGTTCGACAGGGAGAAAATATGTATAAGGAAAATGAATGGAAGAGGAAGAGGAGGAGGGGGAGGAGGAGGAGAAGGACGAGGACGAGGACGAGGACGAGGAGGAGGAGAGAGGAAGAGGAAGGAAGAGGAGTCGGAGTCGGAAGCCTTGGCAACTGGTGAGTCCACTGGTACTTTGCTGGGACGTGTCTCGCATGTGTGCGAGCTCGATAGCTGATGGCGGCATTATCGGCATTACAGGGGGTCAGCCTACGGGACCCCTGGCCTTGTTAGGCCCATTGGGCCCGCTGCAGCTCGATGCCGAGCACCTCCGAATTTCGCAAACCTGGAACGTAGCGGTGGAGGCTTATGACCTTCTGGCCCATCCCCTCCGACTCGGGAAAACGGGTTTTCAAACTTGTGCCAGTCTTTGCCAAGAGAAACCCGTCTACTGTGTGTGCAGCTGAGAAGACTCCTCCATCCCCCCCACTCCTCCACTCCACCCCCCTCCCCACGGTGACGCTCTAAGGCACGGGCAGGTAGTGCTCGGGCATCGGCCTGAGACGAGAGCCTGCTGCCTCGTATTTGTTACTGCTGTGATCTGTCCGCCTGGCCTCTTGGCCTCGGACAAGGTAACGATACCATGAAGAACAAAAACGAAAAGAAAAACTGCTGATCACGATTGCACGCTCATGAATATGCAATCTGGGGCCCATGCACTGCTCACTGTTGGCGGCTCAGTTGTGCAAGCAGTGTTTGGGCTCTCGCGCTGCCCCTCTGCGCCGTGGCTCGGAGTCCCTCTGTATCTACTGTGCCTGCTGCTGGCGCGCACGGAGCGCTGCTTGCAGCTGCCTCTCGAGCGCCGAAGGCGGCGGCGCTCCGAGGATCTGCTGGGCCTGCATCGCCTTGAGAGCGCGACGGGTGGCCTGCCGAAGATCCTGCACTCCGAGGGTGCCGAACTCGATCTCAAGGGCTGGCTGCCACCGCCCGTGCGGCCCACGAGTGCATTGGGACGACCCCGTGAGGGGCGCCCGGCGCACCACTCGGCCACAGAAGCAGCAGAGGCCTGCAGACCACCGGGGCCGGCACCAGCCTCGCGAGGGTCGCAACTGATCGACGTCCCAACGCCCCTCCTCCTCCTCGTCCTGTCCCCTCCTCCTGTCCCCTCCTCCTCCTCCTCCTCCTCCTCCTCCTCCTCCTCCTCCTCCTCCTCCTCCTCCTCCTCCTCCTCCCACGTATCCTTGACCTGCCTCTTTGGAGGCAGGCCAATCCAGCATCCAGCATCCAGCGTCCTCGATATCCTTGTCCTCCTCCTCCTCCTCCTCATCATCCTTCTTCTCCTCCTCCTCCTCCACCTCCTCCCTTCTCCTCCTCTTCCTCCTCCTCCTCCCCCACTCCTCCTAATCGTCCTCCACCTGTACAATTACTCAATATGAAAATACTTTCCCTCTTCCCCTGATGGCGTCCGGGTGATGGCCGC